AAACAAGTCTGAATTAGAAAAATAAAAAATAATTGAACGGCACAATTCTGTCCAGAGGAGTCAAAGATGAACCAGAAGTTTGAAACCAAAAGAACCAAACTGAGGTGAAAATGAACGAAACAAAACTAAATATTAGCATTTCTGTGTGTATATTTTTGACCGAGCAGATTTAGTAATTTTTCCGCTCCTGCCCTGATATACATGGTCTGAAATGATATGAAAGTGTATGGAAACCTTCTTTACTATTGTAATATTGCAGAGTTTTAACCTTAATATTTAAATTATTATGGTACATTTGCATTAATTATAATATTGTCGGCTTATAACCTTCATGTTTAAGTCACTCAGGTACATTTATACAATAAATAATGTTGTATTGTCTTAACCCTGATGTTTAAATTAGTCCGGTAAATTTATATTTTATATAATATCGTGGAGTTTTAGTCTTTAAATTCGAAAATTTAATCTGTACAATAAATGAAATTATTGATTCCTAATCATAATCTTTACACTATGTAGTTTAAACAAGTACTTTAGGGTCTAACTTGTGACATTAGTCTTATTTCTCTGCTGGAAATCACTTTAGCTCAACTCCTAGCTCAATTTACCTGAGTAAGTTTACTTTACAGCTCTGATTGTTACTGAAAATGCCTGAAAGCTCACTAACTTGAGCTTTTCCCCCTTATGTGTTTTCACCCCAGCAGGGACTTTAACTGTCCTTTAGCTTAACTCCGGTTGTACATTTGCCCTTTATTCTTAGTTAAAGGACTTTTACACCCACAAGAAAGAATTCAAAACAGTCGCCTGCCCTCGTGACGCCCCCGAGGTCTTTCTCCGTCTGTACATCTGGTCTGTTTTTGCAACAGAAGCCGTTGATGATAGGGATCTTGTTCGTGGTGTAAATACACAGAACTTCAGTTTACCTGTAGACAAACGTTTTGACACAGAAAAGTCTGAGGTTAAACCATTAAAACAACAGAAACAGTTGATTTCTTCTTTTATTGTCAATTAATTAGTTGACAAAGTGCTTGCGAAAGGGATATTATGAAGAGTTGAGGGAGGGCAAAGTTATTTATTTTTATTTTTTTTAATATTTTATTGCTCCTGAGATACATTAAATGGAAATAAAATTTACAAAAAAAATAAAACTGATGGTTGTACAGGGATGTGTAAGAGCCCAAAACTGACACAGCAACTGAGTTTAAAATCACCAAAACAGCACAATAGCGTTTATTTATCATCCGTTTATTACCTGTATGCCACATAATCTCAGGCAACTCCAGTTAATGACTTGGTTAAACTCCGCGGAGGCCACAGTTTGCAGTTTAAAACAAAGAATAAACTGATTTCAGACCTATATTTGGATATTTTGTCCAATGCAATGATGCGTCACATATGAGTAATTCAGTCATCGTTTAAAAGGCTGAAAATCCAATGTTTTTTCTTAGTTTCTTGCTCTGACAAGTTGGTATAATTTAAATATTTGTTGTTTTTTAATTATTATTAAGCATGCTTTTCAAATCAACCAGCAGGTTTTGGAGATTGGGGGTAGAATCTTCATTCCAGCCTGATGGAACCATTTCTTCACCACTTTGATGTGTGTTTGGGCTCATTGTCTGGTTGGAACGTCCAACTGTGTCCAAGATCAACCTTCTAGAATCTAGAAGAACCATCATCTAGAATCTAGATGATGGTTTTAGGTTTTTCTGAAGAATGTGGAGTTAATCCTCCTTCTTTATTATTCCGTTTCCTTTGTTTAAAGCCCCAGAGCATGATGCTGCCACCGCCATGCTTGACGATAGGTTTGGTGTTCTTGGGGTTAAAGGCCTCACCTTCTCTGGCCAAATCACTGAGTGGGGACTCTCAGTTGACTTTTTGGAGACTTGCAAGGCACTAAACTGTCGTCGAGCCCACTGAAGATTTGGTTTTATATAAATCAACACTCACATTTGTGGCTTGGTTTGTGGTTTTGGTCCAACATGACACTGCAGGTTTATTAATGGATATTTTCTGATTTCTCCCAGTGATGCAGATCAATAAGCTGATAGAGATGGAGGTTCTGGAGGAGGCTCACCTGAACCTGCTGTCCCTGCGGCAGGAGTTCCAGCAGGAGCAGCAGCAGTACGCTGAGGATTTGTCTGTGGAGCTGGCCAAGAAGGAGAAAGACCTCAACCTCCTCTACGGAGAGCTGAGGAAGAAGATCTGCCACATCGTGCGCGACTCCAACTCCCTTCCCTCCAGAAACAAGGCACTGCTGGTTCCGGTGGCTCGCATCATCCAAGAGGAGGATAGGAGGGCCGAGGATAGGAGGGCCGAGGAGCCGGGAAGGCTGCCGGACACCTGGATGGAGGCCTGGAGGGAGGCGGTGGGCGAGGGCGTGAAGGCCAAGGTGCAGAGCGTTCACCTGGAGAAGAGGGAGCAGAACGCCTCCTGGCTGGCCGTCCACTTGGGGCTGCTGGGTAAAACCATCGTGGAGGATCTGGAGAACGTGAAGAAGGAGCTGCGCTGGTCCTACCCGCCCAGCTTTAAGGTCTTCAGCACCTATGTGAGGAGTTATCACCAAGTGGTCGGGCAGCACCTGAAGAAGCTGGAGATTCAGGTGACGGAGCTAAAGGACCTGTACGCTCTGCTGGACTGGATCATCAACAGATACAAGAGGTCAGTGGATGCCGGCAGGTTTTATTTGGCATTAAATATCCAGAAGAGCATTTGTCTTCTTTAGAAACACTCTGTTCATATTGAAGAAATTGAAGAAAATTTTGCTTTTGACCATCAGACTAGACGCAATGTTTGACAGACACCAAACACTTCACATCGTCACAAACACCATTTCCAATGTGAGGTATGGTGGTGGCAGCATCATGATGTGGGGATGTTATTCAGCAGTCTGGAAGGCTTGCAAAGGTAGAGGGTAACATGAAGGCAGCAAAGTGTAGAGAAATCCTGGAGGACGACCTGATGCAGTCTGCAGGAGAACTGAGACTTTGTAGAAGATCAGTTTTCCAGCAAGACGATGACTTGAAGCAAACAGCCAAAGCTCCACAGACAAGAATAAAAAACAGAACGGTGAATGTTCTGAAGGGGCCGAGTCAGAGTCCAGACCTTGATCCAACTGAGAATCTGTGGCTGGACTTGAAAAGGGTTGTTCACTCATGATCTCTGTGGAACCAGACAGAGTTTGAGCAGTTTTGCAGAGAAAAACGAGGTAGAAATACAATGTTTGGATGTTTTATTGAGACCTTTCCACACACTCGATAACTGCAGCCAAAGGTGGATCTGCTAAATTCTGACTTGAAGTTGGTAAAAACGTATGAATATAGACCCTGCACATGGTATTACGCAGCTTGTTTTAAAGTTGGGGATAATTTTATTCAATATATGTGCAGTTTAATGCATTTTTTTTGCAACACAAACTATATTATGACAAGAAAAGGCACATAGATAACCTGCAGTAAGCCATGTTGTGTCAACACTGGTCCAGACTGCTGGTCAAACGTAAAGCGACAAACATAGAAACGCGTCCACAGATGGTGCGGATGTCTAACAGGACCGGGGAGGAGGCAGCGGCGTTAAAAACAGAGCTGCTGACATTATTTGTTGAATCAGGCCACACCAAACCAAAGAAACTGCACTCAGAACAACATTTGGGAAGACCAAAAATAAACAGCTGATCTGATAAAAAAAAAAAAGAAGAAGCACAACACTCTCTGGAGGCCAAAATGGAAAAATTCAAATCAGGTCATGTCCACGTTTCTCTCAGCTTATGTAAAACAGAATCCTTTTTATAAAGCGTACCACACACGGAGGACACTGTGTCGACTTCTCCTGAAACAAATACGCACAGTTTGGATTTGCATGAATGCTGCATGTTTTTAGACATTTTTCAGACAGTTAGCGTCACATTTGCACCTCCTGCAGCATCTCTGGAAAACCATGTGCTGCATTTACTCAGAAATATTTGGATTTAATCTCTGTGTGGTGTCGTTTCAAAGCCTCGGTTCCCTAGATGCTCTCCATGCAGCATCACAGAGATCTGGTCAGATCAGAATCTTCAGGATGCGTATCTTGATTTCGCCGACATGAGGCGACGTGTTTTCAGAATTCTGCAGCAGCACCGACATGAAATGTTGTGAACTGTGTCTCGACAGCGAGAGGATCATGGGAAGTCTGTCGCTGCAGCCCGACATGCAGGCGGAGAGCAGCGACGTGCAGCTGGAGGAGGAGTTCCTGAAGCAGCTCAAGGAGAAATACTGCAGCAGGGTGAAGGTGAGGAGCACAGAGAGGGAATGAAGATGCAGCAGAATGCTAATATTCCTCAATTAAACAGGCCTTTAAACTACTACCTCCTACGAGCACCAGATAAAGACACTCCGGTTGTTGTTTTTGTAGTTTTAGTTATGAGTTTTGCCAGTTTTGATAAGTTCAGATGGATTTTTGTGAAAGGTTTGTTTCATTCAAGCTAATTGAATC